ATCACGCGCCGCGCCCTGTTCCCGGGCGACTCCGAGATCGACCAGCTGTTCCGCATTTTCCGCACGCTGGGCACGCCGGACGAGGCCGCCTGGCCGGGGGTGTCGGCGCTGCCCGACTACAAAGCCACCTTCCCCCGCTGGGCGCGCCAGGACCTGGCCAAGGTTTTGCCACCCCTGGACGACGAGGGCCGCAAGCTCCTGGCGGTGAGGCACAATTCCCAATTTCCCCTGGCTTTTCCACAGCTTTTCCTTCATTTTCCCTGATTTTTCTGTGATTTTCCCTGATTTTTCTGTGATTTTTCCTGATTTTCCCACAAGTTTTCCTTAGTTTTCCCCAGTTTTTCCTTAATTTTCCCCCACTTGTTCCCAATTTCCCGATTTTTCCCCAAGTTTTCCTGATTTTCCCCAATTTTTCCTGATTTCCCCCAATTTTTCCTTGATTTTCCCCAATTTTTCCTTGATTTTCCCCACTTTTTCCTGATTTTTCCCCACTTGTTCCCAATTTCCCGATTTTTCCCCAAGTTTTCCTTATTTTCCCCAATTTTTCCTTGATTTCCCCCAATTTTTCCTTGATTTTCCCCAGTTCTTCCTTGATTTTCCCCACTTTTTCCTGATTTTTCCCAACTTGTTCCCAATTTCCTGATTTTTCCCCAAGTTTTCCTGATTTTCCCAAGTTTTCCTTAGTTTTCCCGTTTTTCCTTGATTTTCCCCACTTTTTCCTGATTTTTCCCCACTTGTTCCCCATTTCCCGATTTTCCCCCAAGTTTTCCTGATTTTCCCCAATTTTTCCTTGATTTTCCCCAATTTTTCCTGATTTCCCCCAATTTTTCCTTGATTTTCCCTAATTTATCCTGATTTTTTCCCTGATCTTTCCCATTTTTCCAATTTCCTCCCAATTTTTCCCCAAATTTTCCCTAATTTTTTCCATTTCCCCCAATTTTTCCTTGATTATTTTCCCTTTTCCCTCTTTTTTTTTGCCATTTTCCCCTGATTTCCCTCCCATTTCCCCCCATTTTCCTAATTTCCCCCCATTTTTCCCCATTTCCCCCCCATTTTTCCCCCGATTTTCCCCCATTTCCCTTTTTTCCCCATTTCGTGCCCATTTTCCCAATTTCCCCCATTTTTTCCTGCATTTCCCCCCAATTTCTCTCTGCTTTTTTTTCCTTTTCCCCCATTTCCCCCATTTTTCCCATTTCCCCCCAATTTTCCCGATTTTTCCCCTTTTTTCCCCATTTTTTCCCCAATTTTCCCCTGATTTTTCCCCTTTTTTCCCCATTTTTTCCCCAATTTTCCCCTGATTTTCCCCCTTTTTTCCCCCTCCCCCTCCCTTTTTTCCCCATTTCCCCCATTTTTTCCCCGTTTTTTCCCATTTTCCCCGTTTTTCTCCCCAGCAAATGCTGCATTACGACCCCAACAAGAGAATTTCGGCCAAGGCCGCCCTGGGCCACCCCTTCTTCAGGGACGTCACCAGAGCTGTCCCCCACCTGCGCCTCTGACCCCAAAAATGACCCCAAAATATCCCCAAAACCCCCCAAAATTACCCCAACCCCCCCAAAATATCCCCAAACCCCCCAAAAATTACCCCAAAACCAAGAAAAACGGCCCCAAATCCTCCAAAAACGACCCCAAAACCGTCCCAAACAGCCCCAAAAACTCCAAAATATCCTCAAAACCATCCCAAAATGGCCCCAAACCCCCCAAAAATGACCCTAAATCCCCCAAAATATCCCCAAACCACAAAACAGCCCCAGAACCCCCAAAATATCCCCAAAACTAGAGAAAGTGGCCCCAAAACCTCCAAAATATCCCCAAAATGAGACAAAACGGCCCCAAATTCCTCAAAAAAGGTCCCAAACTACCAAAATGACCCTAAAACCCCTAAAATATCCCCAAAACCATGCAGAATGGTCCCAAACTAACAAAATGACCCAAAAACCATCCAAAATCCCCCAAAACGACCTCAAAACCACCCCAAAATTCCCCAAATTCCAAGGGCCCCAAAACAGCCCAAAAATGACCCCAAATTTACCCAAAATGTCCCCAAAAGTGCCCAAAATACCCCGAATGTCCCCAAAAGGTCTCTAAAACGTCCCAAATGTCCCCAGAATTCCCCCAAATTCCCCCAAATCCCCCAAATTGTCCCCAAATTGTCCCCAGTGCCACCCCCTCCATGTCCCCTTTGTCCCCTCTTCCCCCCTGCCACAGTTTTTGGGGCCGAATTTTGGTTTTTTTGTGATTTTATGGAAAAAATTTGTAATAAAATTTCTGCGGTTTTTAATCCCGGGAAGGTCAGGGTGGCATCGTCACCTCCCCCCCCCCCCTCCGTCCTGAGACCCCCAAAATGTCCCCAAGTGTCCCCAAAACCCCAAAAATGTCCCCAAATGTCCCCAAATTCCTCCGAAAGTGTCCTGGAAACCCCAAAAATCTTCCCACACCCCAAAAATCTCCCTGAAACCCCTAAAAAATGTCCCCGAACCCCTCAAATGCCCACAAACTCCTCAAGTGTCCCCAAAACCCCAAAAATGTCCCGAAACCCCCCAAAAATTTTCCCCAATTTTTCCCCCTGGCTTTCCCAGGCCACGCCCCCTGGTCTACAAACCACGCCCACTCGCGACCACGCCCACAACACAGTCTGAGCCTCTTGATTGGTCCTTCCAAGCCACGCCCCCTTCGCATGAGCTCTCCACACTGTCAATCAAAGTTAGCACCTCTGATTGGGCGAGGCTTCCTCTCTCCCCGCCTTCTCATTGGGTGATGCAGCCGCGCGGCTCCGCCCCCTCCGGTCACCTTATTTGTTGTCCGCCCCGCCTTTTCTCGCGTTTTTTATTTTTATTGGTTGCCAGCCTTGTCACTCACCGCGAACCCCACCTCCTCACCGCCTTTCCCCTTCCCCATTGGCCAAGCTCTCTCCTCTCCTTATTGGCCGCTGTGCTGTCCATCACCCCTCCCCTCCATCCTATTGGTGCAGCACAGCGGGGTGTCCCCCACCTCTTTTCCCATTGGCGGAGCGCAAAGGCGGGCTCTTCTCCTATTGGTTCATTCCGCTGTTAGTCCCGCCCCTCTCCGTGAGGGGCTTGGCGGAGCCGCTGTTTGTGCGCCGGCAGGGCCCGGAGGTACCGGGGGGCGCCGGGGGCGGCCCCGGGGGGCTCCGAGCGGCTCCGAGCCCCGGGGCGAGCCGCGCTGAGGGCGGGGCGGGAGCCACGGGTGCGGATTTGGGGGGGGGTCGCGGCCCTGAGAGGGATCGGTCCTGAGGGGGCTCCGGGCTTGGGGGGGCTCCGGGCTCTGGTGGGGCTCCAGCCCCTGAGGTGGTCCCAGCCCTGAGGGGGCTCCGGGCTTGGGGGGCTCCGGGCTTGAGGGGGCTTCATGCCCTGAGGGGGTTCCCAGCCCCTATGATCCCGTCCCAGTGGGGTTATCCCAGTTGGGTTATCCCAGTGGGGTTATCCCAGTGTTCTGATCCTATCCCAGTTGAATTATCCCAGTGGGGTGACCCCATCCTAGTGACCCCATTGCAGTGTGCTGACCCCATCCCAATTGGGTTATCCCAGTTGGGTGACCCCATCCCAGTGACCCCATCCCAGTGGGGTGACCCCATCCCAGTTGGGTTATCCCAGTGGGGTTATCCCAGTGGGGTTATCCCAGTGTTCTGATCCTATCCCAGTTGAATTATCCCAGTGGGGTGACCCCATCCCAGTGACCCCATTGCAGTGTGCTGACCCCATCCCAATTGGGTTATCCCAGTTGGGTGACCCCATCCCAGGGACCCCATCCCGGTGCTGTGACCCCATCCCATCCCGGTGCTGTGACCCCATCCCAGGGATCCCATCCCAATGGGGTGACCCCATCCCAGTTGGGTTATCCCATTTGGGTGACCCCATCCCGGTGCTGTGACCCCATCCCAGGGACCCCATTCCAGGGACCCTATCCCAGTGGGGTGACCCCATCCCAGCTGGGTTATCCCATTTGGGTGACCCCATCCCAAGGACCCCTATCCCGGTGCTGTGACCCCGTGCCACCCTCTCTGTGTCCCCAGGATTGCGGTGCCATTGCACCCAGCCCATCCCAGTGTTCCCAGTTTGCTGACCGCATCCCAGCTGGGTTGTCCCAGTTGGGTGACCCCATCCCAGTGACCCCATCCCGGCGCTGTGACCCCGTGCCACCCTCTCTGTGTCCCCAGGACCGCGGTGCCATTGTGCCCAGCCCGGCCATGGCCGCCCGCGGTGCCCAGCGGCCCAACGGGCACTCGCAGCCCAGTAAGATCTGCCAGTTCAAACTGGTGCTGCTGGGAGAGTCGGCTGTGGGCAAGTCCAGCCTGGTGCTGCGCTTCGTCAAGGGCCAGTTCCACGAGTACCAGGAGAGCACCATCGGCGGTGAGCCGGGATCTGGGGATCCCACGGGGATTTGGGGTGTCCTAAAGGGGTCTGGAGCTGTCCTGGGTGGGATTTGGGGTGTCCTAAAGGGGTCTGGGGCTGTCCTGGCTGGGATTTGGGGTGATCCCAGGTGGGATTTGGGGTTCAGAGCTTTGTCAGGGGCCAGTTCCACGAGTACCAGGAGAGCACCATTGGCGGTGAGCCGGGATCTGGGGAGCCCACGGGGATTTGGGGTGTCCTAAAGGGGTCTGGAGCTGTCCTGGCTGGGATTTGGGGTGTCCTAAAGGG